TGATCGGCTGTTCTAGGGTTGGTTCTGAACCCTTGTTTGTTTTTCACTCAGTCCTATTTTAAGTTTGTTATTTGCGTTTAGCTCCCTCATTATTTCACCATCTGCTCCTCCCTTCAGCATCTGCTGGTTTCATTTGTGGTTGTTGTTTATTTCCTGTTTTATTATGTTAACTAGTTTCGTTTTTAACTTTCCTTTACCCATCTGTCTCAACTTCCCCTACCAGCCCTCTGTGTATAACTAGTCATGTCCTCCTCTTTGTCAGATGTTTTTCTAGCATAAAAGTACGTTCACACAGGAAGTGATCACTTTCGGCATCACTTTGTGGCTGACCATCAGTTGTTGCCAGGGTAATTCTCTAATGTAATTGCTATTCTGTTATATGTCATTCAACAGCACACGTCACTCTTGGTGGTAGTCTAGTTGCTTCAGTCAGGACCCACCCACTTCGCCTGTTTGCACACCCCTTAAGACGTCCAGGTTTCTAGTTCCTATACCTTGTTGTTTCCTGTGTTTTTCTTTTTTCTTTTTGTGCTTTAGCAATCCACCCTCTGGTCTAAATCTGGTCACTTCTGACTCCAAAACCCCAAGCTGTTAGGTGAATGCACTGACCAGTTAATATAGATGCATACTATAAGTAAACTGTGGGTGAAGGCACGATGGCTACTTCTGTCCTTTTTATACAGTCTGTGATTACAATTATGATTATGTAAGTCTCACAGAGCAGCTGGCTTCATTACACTGCACAATAATTACTTTTCTGACAGTAAAGAATAATAAAGGGAAACTTAATGAATAAATGTAAAGAAAATGTGACATTTTTAAATAGTAATTTTGTAGAGTTACGCTTGTAGATTGCGAAAAGCATCTTCTTGTGATCTCAGTATTTCAAGAATCGTGGTGGGAACAAACATTAAAAGCTCAAGGTTAAAACAGCGAACCAGCCGAGAAAATGGAAAATATACCTGCATATACCACAAAGCCAACAGCATGGTCCGTGTTTCTCACTGTGCAGCCTCGCAGCAGCAGACTTTCAATTCCAGCTCCCACCTTCTGCTTATCGGGTTTCTCTCTGCAGCAGGAGAAAGTGAGAAGCCTCCTTTTTACTGTCAGATCTCGTTAGATATTCATTACTGCTTATATATTCCCCATTAGCAATTCTCCTGCTTTATGTCTATAGCTGGCCAGCATAGGCAGACCACCTGTAAGAGCCGTGGTGCCTGAGAAAATCGATTCTAGTCTATTACAGCCCCAATAATGCCTCTGGTTGAATCAGAAAGTCCAGCAAGGCGGTTGGAATTAGTTTTGCTTGGCTGCTTTGAAAGGCTAATAGAAACTGGGGGTGCAGAGAGGGGTTCATGTTGTCTGTGTATTTGATACCCACACGTAACCCTTGAAATGATTCAGGTTGTTGTTGGGCTTTTCACACACCACGATCCCATTGAAGCTTTCAGGCTCAAATTCTGGATGCTGGGAAAAGGAAAGAGAGAAGAGACACGGGAAAATCAGTACAAATGGAAACTTTTTAAATGCAGCTTAACCTGTACTTCAAGATGTCTCCTGCACCCAGGAATGGCAATCCCTCTCCAAATACATGAGTTAAAGCTATGTAATCCAGTAGGTATGTCTTCATTTACTTTGACAAGTTGTAATGATTTGCACTTTAAGTAACATCCAGACATGGCACGACTGTTTTCAGAGTGTATTCAATTTCAGTCACGCAGAGAAAGAACGGAAGAGAAAACAAAAACCGGGAGGCAGATTTAACTCTCACCGTGTTGCAGACTCCAGACACAGCTGTCCTCTGCTTCAGGTTGGTCTCTCCATCCAGGTTGGCTGTCTCTATGTGACACACACCGTTGGGGTCTGATGTGTAAAGCAGGAGGAGGTCTGCAGGAATGATCTCATTGCAAACCACCTTCACAAAATCTCCCACTCGCACATCCTTCCAGTGTCTCTCCACAAACTGCTTCGCTTTCCTGCAGAGATGTCAGGTGCCAGAGATCATTGCATTTTTATCTGAATTTTTTTTTTCTTTTTAAAAACTTTTGTACTAATTTATGCTGAGGTTTTTGTCTCATTCATTAAAGACATAGCCATCTTTTTTATTTTTATAAATGTATGCAAATGATAACACTATTGATGCTGTCTGTAATTTATGATTGCCCAGACTAAGCAGCTAAAATACTTACCAATAGATACAACAGAACAACTGGAGGTCTCAAAAGAAAGAAGAAATAAATTATTGCACTTCTTAAGTTGCACAGTATTATTAGGGTTGCAGGCTATAACACAAAGAAGGGAAGTCAAACTCATTTTACAATGTGGGCCTCATGTGGTCCACTTTGATCTAAAGTGAGCTAAACTTACGAAAGCCCCCTTTCAGTCAGTGTAAAGATGTTTACACACATTTAAAGCATTATAATATAAGAAAAGTGCCATTTCAACAGTCCATCTCAGTTTTTCTGCACAATAATAATCCATTAACTACCAATTACTTACTTTGGTGTAGTATAAATGGCAATGGTGGAGGTGAAAATGAAATACAGTCCAAAATCTATGCTCTCCTTCATACGTGGTCCTCTGGAGTGCCCTTTCATTCAAAAGTGACAACACTAAAACACTTTAGACCTGAAAGGTGTTGTGAACTCAAGGCCCGGAGTAAAGGACGAAGTAAACAGTTTGGTTTCGGTATTAGTTAAATACAACAGCTTTTATATTATTAAATTAAATTAAATTAATGAATTATTTTACCTTTTTAACTTCACAGTAAAAAAAAATCCTTATTAAACATCAGTTGAGAGTCTATTTTAACCATGTCTTCTGGCAACGTGATGGTGTTCTGGTTGGTTTTTTCCATTTAGCTTATTTTTGTCCTTTAGGTTGGGACATGACTTCACAAACCTTTAAAGGCCTTAAGCATATGGCTTCAGTTTTATCACTTCTGAATGAGAGAGCATGCCAGAGCACCTCCCTTTAGAGGCTATTTTCACACATTAACTGAAGTGTACTACAGGTAGTACCGCAAAATCCTGTTTAAATATATTATGAGAATGGACAATTATGATACTCTATGAAATTGTCCCTTGTCCTTTCCTCTGAATTACCCCTACAGTAGTCATTACTTAAAAATACTTAAAACTTTAATTAGTTTCTTCTTTCCTTTGTGACCTCTAGTTGTTACATTTACTTAACCACCTAAGACCCGAACTCTTCCATGGCATGCATTTTTAATTTCGCTTTGATATTTGGGCATGCTGGGACCTGATCAATGAATTTCCAGATTTTTTTTTTTTTTTTCTGAGAAAAATGAGATCCATATATGAGGACATTTGTTTAAAATTTCGATAGAACAGTGGCAGTATGATGTCCTCATAAGTGGATATCAGGCCCTTGTAGAGCAGAATTTATTCTTTTGGTGTAGACAACCCAAAATGTGATATCCACATATGTGGACGCCAGGTCCTAGGAGGTTAAAAATAGTAAAAAAAAAAATAATAATACAAATACAAACCATTCTACTGAACCTACTGGAAAGTTGTTGTTTTTTTAAATGAACTGAAAATTACACCTCGAATTCTTTAAAAAAATAGGTTTTGGGGAATCACACGTGTGCTGTGTTATGAAGTGGTTGAAGTTAGAGCGTAAACAGCAGGAGCAGAGAAAATTATATCAGGTTTCTTTTTTTGGGGGGGACACACAAAATGTGATATGTGTTTCAGAAAAGGAAAATTGTAGAGATGGTGTTTGTCAACGAAGTACTGCACGTTGAACATTAACAGATGAGGCTGTTTCCAGGTAGTGAGGCTTAGCCATGAGGGTGAGAGATGCAGGTATGCTGCTCTGCATGCAGGACCTGATCGGTTAGCTACTGCTGAACACCACGCCTCACACCAAACAAAGCCAGGACCGCAGACTTATATATTTTTAGTTTCTTGTGCTTATTAATCTCACGAGATGCACGCACAATCCTTTTCATGTCCAGAAGGCTTTACAGTTGTTACGCTAATTTTTGTTTTTTTACACATCAGGCAGTTGAATTCCAGGTGTGGGAGGTGTTAAGTGTGTGCTCTAACCTTTGACATCATTCCTCTGATTCATTTTATCAATCATTCTGTTAGCTTAGAACAAAAGACTGGAAACAGGGAAACCTGTTTCCCTAAAACCTGACTTTATTCAAAGATTAAACATTTGCGGCTAAAATTACGCAGTAGTCATTGTGTGCCACAAATAACAGTTGAAAAAATACTTGAACATGTTACTTGGCAAGCGTTAGAAGGAAGTTGTTGGGTCGGTGAGCTGTTTAATGGAGACAGCCAATTATTTCCAAAAAATTAAAAGTTTAACCTCAAGACTCACAATTATTAAATTCAACTGCTCTGAGCCACATTTGTTTCTTTTCTAGAGAACTACAAAAAAATACATTTTTGATTCACCTTTATTAGTTTGCCTACTTCTTTGGCGATCAAGTGATACTTGAAAGCAGTGATGATATAATATCAGCCAGATTTGTTTAGTTGATTTAAACAGCAGATATGGGAACAGCCTGCGAGGTGTGTTGACTGGTTGTAATGCTATGCGGTGAGACATACTTAACAAGAGGAGAGGGCGACGTGGCATTCAAACGCTGTGACAAACAGCCGGCATGCTTTATGCTCGGCACGTTTCCACGCAGGTGGACTGACAAGTGTTTGGGTAGAATGAGCCAGAAGATAAGCACGTTCTGCTCAGACACTTCACACTGCTTTGAAAACAAAATTATGTCGAGATAATGGGGGGAAAAACTACGTGCTTAAGAGATGGCCCGATTGATTAAAGTCTGATCTCTGTCATCAGTCTGCACCTCCACGTGGGTCTTTTCAGGTAAAGATGGTGGAAAGGCTTCTGTCATCGTGCCTGTAAAAATGGCTTCCCAAGAAGAAAGGAAGGATGTGTGTGGAGGTCTAAAAATCCATCCCTGAGCTTCTTTAGGAAATATTTGTATACTTCGAAGAAGTCCCAACCAAATGATTTTGCTCTAAGCTTTATGATCCCAAAATGAAGCTTTAGCATCTCCTCCCAGTGAGCCGTGAGAGACCCACAGGAACCTGCACAGCAGCGCACAACTGCTCTGTGTGTGAAGCAGAGGCAACTAGTGTCCAGATGGACCGGCGTGTTCTCTGAAGTGTTTGAAATGTTGTGTCTGGAGACCACCCTTCAGGCCACCTGGACCCTGTCACCACACACACACACACACACACAGATTCACACTATGGGCTTTTCCCCCAGATGAGGCTTCCTAACACCTCTGCTGTCTCTTCGGGGAAACGGGTTAATTATAAACCCCACCAGAAGTTGAGGCTTCATCATTGGAGGCAGTGTCTCCAGTCTCACGTAATACCCACCTCCCCACTTCCTCCATGTCCCACTGTACTCCAAAATCACAGCAGCAAGAGGGATGGAAATGACAGAGTTTATCCTCCTTTGTGAATTATTCATTTTTCACCAGTAATTCTAAAAAACAGATAACGTCTAACATTACTGTCTTTGCTGACGCAATGCCCGAACGAGGATTTCATCAAATGTGCACAATGTGACGGTGAGAGATATTGTTATGAGGCTCTTCAAAGGAGGAATAATCACCCACACATGTTCTATTTCTAAGTCGAAAATTCCCACGGGGGTGCTGCAGCGCAGAGGAGGTAGAACACAATTGTACAGATCTACGCAATCAAACAGCAGGGAAGAGAGGAATCACAAGCACAGATGTGGATCGTTCGGGGCACGTCGTGCATAAACAGCACAGCACAGCTGTTTCTATATTTGGGACATGACTGTCATCTAGTCAGTTACCTGCTGTAGATGAAGCACGGCATGTTGTTAAGCTTCCTGTCAGACTGGTACCTCCTGAAGTCCTCCCAGGCGTCCTTCATAGCGGTCAGAGACAAGATGACACAAATTGGGATAAGGGCTATTTCTGGCTGGAAAGCATTCACTTCAGGGATAAAGTTCAGAATAACAAGCCCCACAAAGTAGAGGTTGGCCAGACGGTGAAACTGCTCATAAAGGTTCATGGGGATGAAGAAGAGGAGGCTGTATTTTGTGGTCTTGATGGCATTTGATGGGAAGTAGCGGTTAGGTTGCTTTCCCTTCTCTAATCCTTCATAAGGTAGATTAGACTCTAAGCTGCGGAGTTCATTCTCCCGTGCCCTTTGACCTCGCAGGGCATCCCTCACCAGGGCCAGCGGGCTCCTCCACGTCATGGTTGCCTGTTCTTTTTCCTTTTCCTCTTCTCACCAATTTTTCCTTCCCATCCTCTAGAAATCCACTGCTGGTTTGTGTTAAATAGATTCTCCTCGGGCTCCGTCTTTCCTCCAGAGATTCTAGGCGAGTGTGTGAGGCCTGTGCCGAAACAAATGACAACACACCTAGTTCTTCTCTTGAGTCCTCCCCCTTGCACTGACAGGTGTGTTGCATTCCTCGTGCCTGAGCTGTCAGGGGAAAATAAGCCAGGTGATTACACCCAAAAAAATTGTTGTGATGTGTCTCAATGAATCAGCTGATTTCAGTTTGGCTGGAAGTGATCTCCTTCCAAATTCAAATTCAAATTTTATTTGTCACACACACACAACCTTCCTTAAGTTATATCATGTTTTCAGCTGAAAAAATCTTACACTTCAGTGTGGTGAGTCTGTGTAGTGTGTTGTCGGTATATTACAGACTTTGGGTGTTGATTAAAAAAATAACACACATAAACAAAAAGCTACTATCACATATGCAAGTCAAAGGCCCTGAAAAGCTGACAATGTCATAGTTACAGAGCAGAAAATTGGTGCAGTGGGTCATAGGGAGATTTGAACTGACAGCACAACACTGAACAGACTGCCCAGGGCCAGTATATATGAAGAGAAACTGGCAATGGATAGCAAGGCTCTTTATTGGTGCACGGGAGACATAAATTCCAATGCTCATGGTCTGCTGTCTCTGCAGAAAGGTCAGAGGTCAGCAACAGAAGCTTCACAGGTGACTTCTTGTCACCGCTTTACGAGGACAGATGTAGAATTTTCCGGACGGGCGTGTCGAGAGCTGGAACTTTGATGGCATTAATCATGTTGGAGTCTGTGAGCGGAACTGCTCACATGCATGTGTGCGAGTCTATGTTTGATGGACTACAGCAAAGCAGCCTCTTGCACAGATGGCAAGCATGTAGGATGCTTTCCACTTCCTCATGTTGACATATGTTGTCTTTTCCAAAGCAGTCTGCCAAACCTGTTTAAGGAGGCCTGATTTGCACCGGGTCAGTCGTTTAACGTGCTTAAATTTAAACTTCAGGCATATTTATAGTGACTGCAGTAAATCTATATGTAGTATTTTACACACAGTAAGGATGCCACGCATGACCTTGCAGGTGATTTATTTTGTTACAGAACAGATGCCACAATCAGGTTCAGCTTCACCGGGGAGCACAGCGTGTTTTTCCATCAAATATGTTTACAGCGAGGAGGGGGGTGGCTTTGGGTGTAGCATTAAGGGAGTGCGGCAGACTCACCCTCTCACCCGTCCCAGTCAGCTCTGGCTGGGTTTGGCTTGGCTGGCACACCGACTTTCACAGTGGCGCAGCTGTGAATCCACACACACACACACACACACACACACACACACACACAGTAACAAACACGGTCTTGGAACAACAACACGCACACACCAGATTCCACAGAACAGAGGTCTGTGCATTACTAATTATGCCAGTGACATGGAAACACAACAAAGTAGAAAGCATCTGCCTTTCATTCCCCCCCCCCCCCCCCCCCCCTTACATGACAACACTAATGCCCTTTTTGAAAAAGAGAAAGAGAGGGAGAGAGGGCCAATTTAGCACAAACCATCTGTCTTCTGTAGTGAGATAATACATCTGTTATACTGAGCGGGCAACAGTCGTGTGGAGATGCTTTTTTAGTGATGCATGGAGGAACAAGGTTACATGTCACATTACATCAGTTTTTACACCAATTTGCTTTTTGAGATAGTTTTTCTTTTTACTCCCAGCAGCTTCACACATGCAGAGTCCTATTCAAACGTAAAATGTAGTTCCTCTTTTTTTTTCTCATAAACAAACAGCAACTACAAAACACTCAAAGATGATGCTGTCTCAGGCTCGCTGTTTTTTTTGTCCTCTATTTTCCAGAGCTTAGTGACAGAAATCTTTGGCTGATAATTTGGTTTTCTGTGCATTTTCATCTGCATTTTTTGCCTGATTTTTTTTATATTCACCAGTTATTTCCTCACTTTCCTCAGCTTAAAACCCAGACATTAGCTTCACACTAGAACAAAATCCCGCTTTAAATAATAAATATTCAGTGTTTTGCACCATTAAATATTCACCAGCATCCATTTAAGTGGTCAGCCAGTGCACGCAGAGTGCACTCGCTTTTGCTGCGTGACGGGGAGGATGCAGCGAGAGGTCGTGGCACGGATGGTTGCATGGATGGCTCGTTCTCTTTCTTGTCCTTTATTTTCTTTCTCTTCGTGGCTTCAGCCAGAGGGCCACAGTCGAGTCTGCAGAGTGCCTCCATATCTATGGCTCTCTGCGTTAATGCCCCCCCCGAGGCCCGGGTTAAGCTCAGCCCCGCTCAAACCCCAGCCAAGCCCATCACAGCCAGCCTAGACCACCGCCACGGCCTCTCACTCCAACTCCTCCACTCCATCCATTATGCAGCCAACAGTCCCAGCTGCAGCACTCCCGACTCTCTGTTCACCCCTACATTTGCTCCTCTCACATGCCTACTCATTCCCCGTGCTGGGCTCAGTTGTTCATTCGCTCATGCAGACACTCAATCAGCCATGCAGCTCAGACAGTCAGTAATCAGGCTCTCATTCATGCAGGACACATAAAACTGCCACCCATGTACTCTGTTGTTGAAGTGATAGACTGAATTGAGTTTTAATTGAATTTAGATACATCTTCATAATTGCTGACAATCATTACACAAGATATTTACAGTCATTATGAAATATTACAATTGGAATTTACAGAAACTTTGTACAAAATATGCCTGACTTCAATGCCTGGATAGTGGGGTCCTTGTTAAGTCGTTTCCGGAGAGCAAAACATTGACCCAAAAGTCACTGGTGTCTGGAAGTGCTTTAGTTTCAGCAAGTAGATGCTTTTAAGAGTCCATTAAAAAGAAAAAAAGAGAGAAAATCCCAAAAGGTACAGAGTCAGCAAAGTTGTGAATTGTGTTTTCTTTTTCTTTCTTTTTTTTATCCTCAGTTAAATTGCTCTTTTCTTTTTTCGTTATCTTTTTATTTTCTCGACTGAATGGAACATTTGATCTGTAATTCAACTGCAAAAACAACAACGAAGACCCATTTAAATAGAATAAATCCGTAATATTTACACAATAATGTGAGTACTGGTTTATAAAAATGAATCATCTCTTTTTCTTTAAATATGACTTTATGTTTATCTACATTTTTTTTCAAAACAGAAACCTATAAGCACAATGGAACGCATCATACTTCTATCATTCAATTCTACTGATAATGATGGATTGTGGATTGCCATATTTATGCAGCAAGTCTGGTTGCAATGAAACTCAGCTCAAAGTCCCCACAGCAGCCTAGGTTGCGTTGAAGCCGTTCCAAGCCTCTCGAGCTCCTTGCGTGATGGCGGAAAGTTTAGGGAGTCAAGTTAAGTCAAACAAAACAAACGAGAAAAAGAAAAGAAGAAGAAATAAACACGCGTGGTGAAATGGATTCGATTCCATCAGCAAAAGCGAAAACAGAAACTTGGCTGAAGCTTCAGTGTCCACTCTTCTTTCGGCACACAGCAAGCTTTTCCTGTTGAGCGTTGCCACCACGAAAGCCCCACATAGACATCCAGAGAAGAGCACGCCCCCTGCTGTCCACCTGTTCCCATCCAGCGACGCTCAAAACAATCCACCCAGGTGAGTCGTGCTAAGCCAAAGCTGCAAACGTTAGCTGACAGGACAACCTCTACTAGCACAACTAAAAATGCTTTGCACTCCATCATCAACATCATCATCGTGAGATGCAAATGAAATCAAACATAAGCATGCTTTTAAAGGATGTTTTTGATATACAATAATTATAGGAAAATAGACTATCCAAGGATGACTCCTTTAAAATCATTTATAAAGCTTTCCTGGATGCAGACAGCTCGGCTACGAAGTAAATAGATACTAAACAAAAGAAATCCTTAAAAGTATATGCAAACACAAGCATAAATATTTGATCCACAGAGAGTAAGCTACGAATGACAAATATTAGTGATATATTGAAATTCTGGAACAGGCACCGTTTCTGTCTTTTTAAAACTCTCTCTTCTTTTTTCAAGAGCTTGACAGTCGATTTGAAGGTGTTTCCCAAATCCTAAAAGAGTCACTGCCGACTGAAGTGTTGGGTGCTGCTGCAGTCCGTCTAAAAGTCTTTTGTATCTCCGTATTTTCTCTAAAACGAACCACCTAAAAAAAGTCGGTGCACTGTTCATCTCACATTCTCTCTCTCACACACATCCTCTCTCTCATCTCCTCTTATTTTTTCCCTCCTCCCCTTCTTCCCTCTTTCTTTACATGCCTGCCGCGAGCCGGCTCGGTTTAATGGACGTAGTAAAGCCAGTAGACCACGTTGAAGAAGGAGAAGACAGTGGGGAAGATCATCCTGGACCACTTGTCAATAGAGTTCACGTCAGACAGGTCTGGGATGTTCACCTTGAGCTGGGAAGCCCGTCTCCGTAGGCGCGACTTCTTCTGGGCGTGGCGCTCCAAGGCGCTGTGGCCATAGTTCTGGCGTGCCATGGCTGCCCTGCGGTACTGCAGCGTCGAGCTATCATAGGCCAGCATGGTGTTGCGGGGGTCTCCGGGTGCTCCTAGGCCCCGGGACAGATCCCCGGCGCCGCCCATCTCATTCTTCATCTCCAGGGTGCTGAAGAGGATGTTGTCGTCGGGGGTCATCTGTGTGAAGGTGCAAACAAAACAAAACAAAACAGGCGCAGCCATGAGAAGTTACTGCCAGGGAGGAAATTTTGGAGCGTTCAGTCTACGTCTAGCAAAATTATAATTGAAGTTGTAATGATAATTATGCAGTTTACTGTGTAAAAACACTGATGGGGTGCTAGAATGGGTAATGCAAATGAGTCAAAAATCGTGTTACTTACAGTGAAGAAAAGATTTTAAGCACTTTAAAAAAAGCTCTAAATAAATCATTGATCATCTGTCGTCGTTATCTGAGTGACAATACAACC